TAATCACTCAGAGACTAACTGACTAGGTCTTGTATAAACATCATAGGTACACTTGCACTAAGGATACTGTATCATATCCTTCACGCAGTATTTAATCACTCAGAGACTAACTGACTAGGTCTTGTATAAACATCATAGGTACACTTGCACTAAGGATACTGTATCATATCGCCTATGATGTTTGTACATGACCTAGTCAGTTAGTCTCTGAGTGTTCACCACAGTATTTAATGATATGATACAGTATCCTTAGTGCAAGTGTATTAAATACTGTGGTGAATACGTGGGTAATGTTTCTACAGACACACACTTACACGGCGGGTAGACTCTACAGACACACACTTACACGGCGGGTAGACTCTACAGACACACACTTACACGGCGGGTAGACTCTACAGACACACACTTACACGGCGGGTAGACTCTACAGACACACACTTACGACGGCGGGTAGACTCTACAGACACACACTTACACGGCGGGTAGACTCTACAGACACACACTTACACGGCGGGTAGACTCTACAGACACACACTTACACGGCGGGTAGACTCTACAGACACACACTTACACGGCGGGTAGACTCTACAGACACACACTTACACGGCGGGTAGACTCTACAGACACACACTTACACGGTGGGTAGACTCTACAGACACACTTACACGGTGGGTAGACTCTACAGATATACACGACACACATGATGGGTGGGGTGGGTCTCTAAAGACAGACACATGATGGGAGGCTGAGTAAACTCATATTTAAAACACAAATTAATATTGGAAACACTAAAGACAATGCAGAGGTTGAAAACAAACAATGTTCAGTTACCATAGGAACCATCCAAGTCTTTGAACTCGCACCTTTGGCCCATATACCCATCTGCACACCTGGAAGGAAGGGAGAAAAAGGTAAGTATTGAAATCGTCGACTTTTATTCAGTGTAACATTATCAAATTTACCAAATTCTTTACCCCAAAATTTGATGTCAAAATCTGCCTGTGTCCTATACACCGAAGGTATGAATAATATATATGTATATATACGATATACACATGCCATGAGTAAATATATTTAAATAAGCATGCATAGTTTAGTTCAACTGAATGTGTTATTTATAACAATAGTATTTTATTCTTTTAAAAACATAACTATTTATAATGCTCCCTAAATAATCAAAAAATAAATTACAGTGAAAGCAATGAAGATTTTGTAGGTTTTGAACCAAACTAAATAACAGTAAACCTTTTTTTGATTTACGGTATTTTCTTATTTTTGATGTTTTGAGCTCTTTTGTGTTTAGAACAATATATACTAATTTTTAAAGTATCAAATTGAATTTTTCATCAATAAAAATCTTTCAAATGCGACTGTAGCTTTCACCCCCCCTCTCCAAACTTTGTCTTCAAAATAAGGGTGCGTCTTATATATTCCGAGAAATACGGTATACGAATTTTTAATCAGTACAAGTTAAAAAAAATCTGTATCAGAAACGTACTGCTGGTGTGTAGCTCGAGTCTATTCACTGGTTTATTTACCTTTCGACAAAGATAAAATAGAAAATATAACCCGTGGGTACAGAGAAAAGAAATGTAACTACTGTCACCATCAAACAGTTGGTCCACTGTACAATACCGAATAATATATATACGTCACACTATCGTTCACACACCTAAATTAATTTAGGTTACTTACTGGTTAAAAAGGCTTAAACACTCCATAAATATAACAGAATCTAGCTAGGAAATATATTTTGTTACTTTAATATAATACGATTAAAAGAGATTAAAAAACTATCCGAGCCCAAAATTAAGGGACTATTAAAAAATCTCTATACTTACTCGCAGTTATATAGAATCGATTCCCCTATTTTCACCGAGAAACAGGTGGCGCCATTGAGGCAGTACCACTTAGCATAGGCTTCCGGGCAAGCGTAAGTCTGGAAGGTGATATTTGGTCTCGTTGTGGTGGTCAAGGGTGCTCTTGGCTTTGGTGTTGACCTGGACGAACACGCCTCTATTCGAAACAATAACTGCTAAGTCACGATTATTTAAAACACACAGAAAAGTGAGCAACAAAAAGTTCAGCAACTTTACTAATCATCTACATACATACTAAACACCGCCACTTTATACACACAAAACACCGCCACTTTATACATACTAAACACCGCCACTTTATACATACTAAACAACGCCACTTTATACATACTAAACAACGCCACTTTATACATACTAAACAACGCCACTTTATACATACTAAACAACGCCACTTTATACATACTAAACAACGCCACTTTATACATACTAAACAACACCACTTTATACATACTAAACAACACCACTTTATACATACTAAACACCACCACTTTATACATACTAAACACCACTTTATACATACTAAACACCACTTCGGTTCGCGTGTTGAATATTCTCAATGATACGCTGTATAATAAAATAATGAGAAATATTAACAACCATCAAGTCATGAACGAATATATATGTGTGTGTGGAGACGGGGTGAGAACAAGTAGGTGTTTCTAACATCTTGTCCCTTGGACAATACAGTTTTTTAATTATGGCACGAGGACTAAATCACGTGGTTTTTTACACCAATGGTGCGACATGACCAGGTGGTTAGGGCGCTTGACTCGCAATCTGAGGGTCGCGGGTTCGAATCCCCGTCCCACCAAACATGCTCGCCCCTTTCAGCCGTGGAGGTGTTATAATGTAACGGTCAATCCCACTATTCGTTGGTCAAAGATAAACGCAAGAGTTGGCGGTGGGTGGTGATAACTAATTGTTTTCCCTCGTGTAGCTTTGCGCGAAATTCAAAACAAACCAAACCATACACATCATTATAATTTAGCTTAGCCGACCCTAATTTTGAACTACATGCCACACGGAAGGAAGGCAGTCAGTCAGCAACACTCGCCGCCAAACGGGCTTTGTTCTTCTCTTTTCAACCAATTAATGGGATTCACTGTCTGTCACGTCTAGAACACCAGACTCTTCTATCTGCACCTCTCAAGCTAGCTACTGGGCCACACCCAGTGTAGGTGAATTAGGTAACGCCCCTTAACAAAGGATGGTCTACCTTCTGAAACGTTTTACGTTTCTTTATTTCTTTCATCCAGTTCTGATCCAGAGCGATTTTTTTAGTATCAATATAGGGATGTAGACGACCATGGTTTGTCCGCGAACTTTTTTATTTACCCCCAAGTGACGGATAATACAGTTTTTCGGGTATA